ACACACACACACACACACACACACACACACACACACACACACACACATCATGGCACTTGCCCCATCCCCCAACACAGGCACACTTATAAATATAATTTACCCAGACACGGTGATGTGGATGCACGGTTTTTATCCTCATACCTGGGAGGCAGAGGCAAGCAGATCCCTGTGAGTTCAAGACCAGCCTGGTATACATAACAACTTTCTGGCAAGTCAAGGTTACATAATGAGACCTTGTATCAAAAATAAATAAAATAATAATAAGTGCTCTTTTTAAAATCAACTATCATCTGTAGCACATGTTTGTAACCCCACTAGGGAGGCAGGGGCAGTAGGACTGGCAGCCTTAACTATATAAGTAGGTTCTAGAATCAAAGTTTCAGACCTTGTTCCAATAAACACACATACACTCACATACTCACGCACATACCCATGCCTGATCCAAAACAAAGCAGAAAGAGGGCTTGGCACTTTTCTTGGTGTGTTTTTCTTTAGGTTAGGATAGGATGTTGCTATACAGCCCTGCCTATGGACCTCAAATTTACAGCAATCCTGCTTTTCTCTCCCGAGTACTGCGATTAGAGGCATGTGCTACCATGTTTAGCAAGTACTCCCTACCCAATGCTAAAGACTAACCTAGCAGATGCTAGACAAGTGCCACCACTGAGCTACAGCCTCAGGCGTCTAGCCTTTAATTAATTTATTTATTTACTTACTTACTTTTTATTATCTTATATGTGTGGGTGCTTTGCCTGCATGTATGTCTGTTCACCACTGGTATGCCTGGTATCCACAGAGCCAGAAGAAGGCATTAGATCCCTTGGCATTAGAGTTATCAAACCCAGACAATCTGGGAGGATAGCCCATGCTCTTAAGTGCTGCGCCAACTCTCAAGCTCTTAGTCTTTATTTTTGAAAATACATTTTTGAGCTTGTATAGAGGTTCATGCCTATAATCCTGGCATTTGTGAGGCTGAGGCAGGAGACTTAAACATGGATTTTGGTCTAACCTGGGCTACCTATAGAATTCCAGGGTAGCCTGGACTATAGAGAGACCTTGTCCTTTTTGGTTTGTTGTTATTGCTTGATGTGACTTTGCTTCTTACCCTACTTACTCTGTATCAGCACCTGGTGTGTTTGTAATCACTCGAAGTAGAAATGAAATGACTCCATTAGGAGGCATGAAGGAAAGACCATACTCACCCCGTGTTCTGAAGAAGAAGGGATGGTAATTGCTTTCGTTTTTAATGGAAGGGAAAGGAACAATCTTTACAAAGTAATCCGTTTCAAATTTCATATTCAGGAAAGGCTGAGATTCCATTCCCTAAAAGGAAACAAAGACACACGTAGTATAGAGAACTGTCCAGCCCCCAACCTACAAAAGACCTGCACTCAACACTGACTGTCACTCAGACACAATTCCAGGGCCAAGGAGATCCTCCCAGACGCAACAGAAGAGCAGTGCTGTCTGCTCTTGGACAAGAAAGCCACGACACCTGGGAGTTGGAGGGAGTAAGGGGCAAACCCACAGTACTCTCCAGAACACAGAAGCTGGGATAGCTGCTGCTTCAGTGTAACCAGAGAGGTGTGTTTACCAGAGCCTCACTGAAGAGCTTTCCTGGGTGTGTGGCAGGCTCAGCTGCTACCTCCCATTCTCGCCCACCTTGGCTGGGCTGTGGACCCCAGAGGCCTCCCTTCTCCAATTTCAGACTTTCAATAGACCATTCAGACCCCAGAGACAATGAATGGTGTCTTCAGAAACACATTTCCCGAGTGTGACTTACAGTTCTTTTGAAGCTGCTGTTGAGCTGTTTGGGGTCCTTTAGAATCAGTTGTTGGCACTGTCTTCCCTCTGATTTCAGCTCCTCCAGGATTACTCGGAATCCTTTTAGGAATTCAATGCCTAGGCAAGGCAGAGGCTTTTATTAATTCGGACCTAATTACTTCTGAACACACTTTCCCTTCTCGAAGGTCACAACTTTTCCAGCTATACACCAAAGCTAAAGGATGTCTACAGAACAGAAGAATGCACAGCTTGCATTCACTCCTCTGGGACACGTGGAGTGATCGATATCACTGTTCCTAGTACATTCTCTATCCCTCCCTGCCACTTGACAATATTTATTGCTTCTGTGACACTTGGGCTCAAATAGACTCAAGTCTCAGCTGACCACAGAGTCTATAGTGGAATGTCTCAGGTACACAGAACTGAGAATTCCCAGAGAACAGCCCCAGACTTTGTTTTGAACCTAAAGTTTTAGCTATATACTTACTTTCTTAATATGTTTCACTGAGCAGCTTACAAAATTCCCAACACAGTGCATGTCTGTACCCAAGAGGGCTCCTAGGCATCAGATGAAATATTTTAGGGGAATATCAGTCTTGCTATAATCACCCCCAAAAGGCAGATAGCCATGGGCTGCCCCATGTGTGCTCTGTGCATACAGCCCTCAGAGACTACAAGATGCCCACAATGTTACTGAAAGGTGCCGGCCCAGCCTCACCATCTGAGCTTCTCACTGCCCATCTGACTAGATGCTTTCAAAAGGATTAAGCTCTGATGGCCACAAGAGCTGGCACTGGGGCTCTGCATCCAAGTGCAGCCGGAGATCCCCAAAGCTGCCCTCAACTGTCGAGATATCGATTTCACATTCTTTCTGAATGCCGGACAAGGAGACATTTTCAACCCTCCCCCTCCCAGGGCAAACATAATTACACAGGATGCAATTAACCAGGTGGGAAAATTACTGATGGCAAAGGTCATGGAAATCTTTTCTCTTTTGAGTAGGTCCTCTAATTCTGTAATTATTTGATGAACAGCACATAGTTCATGGTGGCTAGGGTGGAAAGGGCGCAATTGAGAGCCTCATATCGTAGAAGCTGGGAGTTCCACAGTGCATGGTGATTTTCAATCACTAAGCTTTCTGTGTGGTGACAGCCAGGGAATCCACAACCAGAAATTCAGACAGGATGACACAATACAACATCTTTACAGGACCAACTATTTAGGTCTCACAGGAACTTGCCTTTCGAGACCAAGAAAAAGGAAAAGACTTGTGAACAAATCTTTACTACTTAAATACTACCTCACTGGAAAAATGTTTCCATAGAGATTGTTTAACAAAGGTAGGTGACTCAGGATTAAAGGCAAGCCTCTCACAATCACTTAAAAACTGATCAGCTCAGGTATGCATAAATGGATAGACCCGGCCCTTATTTTCCTTTTCCTTTTTTTTTAAAAATAAAAAACAAACAAACAAAAAACTCCTCTACCAAAGGTTCAGGAGTCACTTTGATTTTTTGGGGTGTTTTTGTTTTATTTTATTTTTTTAATTTATGCATACCAGAAGAGGGAATCATGCCCCATTACAGATGGTTATGAGCCATGTGGGTACTGCAAATTGAACTCAGGATGTTTAGAAAAGTAGCCAGTGCTCTTAATCACTGAGCCATCTCTCCAGCCCATTTTTGGTTTTTAAAGACAGAATTTCTCTGTAGCTCTGGCTGTCCTGGAACTCACTCTGTAGACCAGGATATCCTCGAACTCAGAAATCTGCCTGCCTCTGCTTCCTGAGTGCTGGGATCAAAGGTGTGCGTCACCACAGCAGGGCTGGGCCTTGTTTTTCAATGGGAAAACTGAGATCATAAACATAGGGCTAAAAGTAGATTAAAGCAGCAGATAACACATCTATCCTGAGGTTGTGGAGACACTCATTAATTCCTCCTAACAAACACGGGCGGCAGGTGCTAACATCCCATTTACAGATGAGGAAAGGGTTTGAGAAATTGACCTCCACACCCTGATCAGACATGTGGTAAACAAGGCCTGGAAGCACTGAGATGTCAGCCACTGCCCTTACCCTTGTGCTCCCCTGACTTCTGAGGTGTTAACTTGACAGACAGATCCCATCCATGTCTACCCCACCCCACCATAAATCATCATTTCTCTTCCCACCACCAGCTTATACCTCTTACCCTCTTCTAAAGAGGGAGCCTGCAGTTCATCAGATCAAGGCTTAGTCATTTAAGCCTTAAATGAAATGACTCTTCTTCTATCCAAAGAATAATCTTAACCTTTATGTGTTAGGATAAAATTATCTTTGGAAACGCATAGGGTTTAGACCTAGCAGTATTTATGTGGACTGGTAAGATGGCCCAACCACCTACTCCATCACGCCTCTCCCTCATGTTCACTCCTACACTGTAGTTCAGGGATATTTCTGTTCAGATTAAGAAATCTAGACTTTCTTTAACTTCTCCCTGGCCATATGCTGAAAAAAAAAATGTCCAAGACCAGCACAGTCAGGACTCGGGGAAGGGCTGGGACCTGGGTTCTGATAAAAGCAGCAGTTGTTCTTGGGCAGCTTTCTCTGTCCGCCAACCAGGAGGCAACTTCCACCTCCACTTGGCACCCAGGGAAGCCAGGGCTCTGCAGTTTAAATGCCTCATGTGAAAGGCTGGTCCCAACCAAGCATGGCAGTCCACATAGGATCCTACAACCAGGCATGGCAATGCACACATAGTACCCCAACCAAGCATGGCAGTACACACATACCCAGCCTGTGGGTGGCATAGCAGTGCACACAAAGGATCTCAGCCTTTGGGTAGCACAGACAAGGAGGACAGTGATTTGAAGCCAGCATTGGCTACATAGCAAGACCGTATCTCAAAAGACAAGAGGGAGCTGCTGAGTGTACTAGTGCACACCTCTACTCCCAGCACTTCTGAAGTAGAGACATGTGGAATCCAGAGAATCAGGTTTTGGAGGCTATCCTGGGCTACACAGGAGGTTTGAGGCCAGCCAGGGATACATGAGATCTTGTTTCAAAAAACAAAAATCAAATAAACAAAAAGAAATTACCAATGAGGTTCACCTAAATGGAGTTAAAGAACCTCAGGGCATCCTGGCTTGGCTACTCCATCCTCTCTTAGGTATCAACTAATTCAAGACAGACTCAGCCTGGTGTGGCGGCATAGGAAACAGAGGCACACAGATATGAGTTCAAGACCAGCCTGGTGTACAGAATGAGTATCAGGAGAGCCAAGGTTACACAGAGAAACCCTGTCTCACCGTACCCACTCCCTGGCCAAAAAAAGAGACAGATTTGGCCACACAACTTGGCTAAAGAAGGGGGCTTGCTTGCTTTCTATTTCTTTACTTCACTCTGAATTTTGTTGGCCTACAAGGTCTAAAAATAAATTCAACTTGGTCTCCAACTTTAAACTCAATGATTTCATGCTTTCTTATGAAAACAAGAATTTTCCTTTAAATAAAAAAAAAATCATCAAATATGCCATAGATGGGTCCATATGTCATTGTGACCTCAGAGACCACTAATTCTGGAGGCCAATGCCAATGTGCCCCTGGACAGACCGCAGGAGCCTCCAGCACATTCAGTTCCCTCCTTCTGACTGTGTACTAAGGACCTATCTGTCTAAAACTTCAAAAGCATCACCAATCATGTTATCTTTCCAAACTCCTCACATTTCTCTAAAACACAGGCCATGGGGACACCGCTAAAGCTGTGTGTGTGTGTGTGTGTGTGTGTGTGTGTGTGTGTGTGTGTGTGTGTGTTTGCGTGAGTGTGTGGCTCTGGCTCGAGGATACAAGCACAAAGCAGACCAGTATCCACAGCACTCTCAGCTTCACCACCAACACCTGCATACCTGGAGGCCATCACACACAGCCACTAATACTGGCAATGTCCACTCTCCACAGAGGATTTGAGTGCTAACACTTACCAAGGGCCCCTGGGGACCAAAGAATGGTGACTGCCACTTGGTCATGGCAAGCATACTGGCTGATGGTGATGTTCTGAGCATCAGCGATCACGTGCTTCCCCACAGGACTCAAGTAGGTGGTACAGTCTAGAGTTGGAAAAAAAAATGAAAAGTTAAGTTTTTAGCCTTTATTTTCAATCTCATCTTACTAGACTACGCAGAGTATGTCTAGAGGTGCCAAGTCCACGCCTATTATGAATTTCGCCAAAAGCTCATATAAGACACCAACGCCGATTACGGCTGGAGAAACATAGTATGTTACAGAGGACTATAACAGCAGCAACACCACCCCCTCTCTGAATTAAATTTCTGGACGTTGCTAGGACGGTTGGCTACAGAGTAGACTTTTGTGTCAGTCATTAGCTTTGTTGGCCTTTTGTTTCTCTCCTTACTCTAATGCTGTTTTCCGGAAATCAGTAAGGACTTACATCAGTTCTATCCATTTCTAGCATGTAATGTAAAAGACAACCCTGTTAAAATACTCTGGAGTGTGTTTGTTTTTAGAAGAGACAGAGGGGGCAAGGTCACCAGGGAAAAGGAACTAACATGAGGGTGTGAATCCACAGGGGAGTAATTTCACAGGCAAACTGTTAAATGACTCACTGCCTACAACACAAGGCACCATGTTTGAACCCTGAGGAATGAGGGCGCCAGCTAACATTCTCAAAGTCTCAGAGATACCCACAATCCCCATTGAATCTCCAAAGCCTCAACTTAAAGGGTCAAAAAGAAAAAAAAAAAACTTTGATTGTTTTTTTTTTTGTCCAAAGGTGCCAACGAAGCCACCACCTTACATGTAAGCAGCCGTATCACCCAGGATTGCTGAATACACGTTCAAAGGCTGCCAGAAGCTCTGAGCCAGAATCAGGCTGGAATTTCGGAGAATTACCACACTAAGGCAGACGTCCTTGCTGAGAGAACTGTTCCATGGCTTCCACAGCAGATACCAACCCACAGTGTTCACATGCTTGGCTCTATTTGTTTCTCATGATTCCACTCATATTGTCTCTTCTATAATATCTACTGCAAAGGGCTTCATGTCATCAAAGTCCAAATCTAAGGGGCATTCCTCTGGTGTGAAAGGCTCGGCCTTTCTAAGAAGCTTAGTGAATCTGCTGTATTTTCCCTTGTAAGCTGCACTGCTCATTTTCCACTTTTATAACTAAAAACACTTCAGGAGGCAATGGAAAACAATATATGAACAATACAAAGCTCACCCATACTCTCACCAAACACAGGCAACTCGGTGAAGACTCGAAAGTGGGAGGGGGACCTTCCAAGCCTTTCAGCGTGATAGTCTTCTTTTTTTACTAAAATATATTCACATACTACCTGCACACCCAACTTGTAAAACTCCAGCCTCTCCATTGCCTGAGCTGCTTTCTCTCCTGACCACATCAGGCAAGCTTCTCCTTAAACTTCAAGTGCTTCAAAACCAGTTGCATTTTTATTTCAGTATTAAAAGGATGTTAATAATACTACTAAAGTCTGCCAGGCAGTAGTGGTGCAGGCCTTCAATCCTAGCACTCAGGAGGCAGAGGCAGGCAGATAGATCTCTGTGAGTTTGAGGCCAAGCTGGTCTACAGAGTGAGTTCCAGGACAACCAGGGCTACATAGTGCAACTGTCTTGAAAAACAAAAACACACACCAATTAAATTCTACCTGTACTAACTAAAACGTGAATCTTGGACTAGGAAGGTGGCTTAGTGGTTAAACTGCTGGCGTTCCTAGTATTTGGACTGGAGGTTCAGAGCCCCAGAACCTTTGTGGGCACAGTTGGTGTCCTGCAGTTCCAGCCTTAGGAGGTATAGACAGGGGATCCCCCAGACCAAGTAGGCTACTGAGACTAACCATAGCAGCAAGAGGTGGGTTTGATTAAGAGATCTTGTGTATCGGTCGCAGCAGCCATCTTCCAGTTAACTCCCCAAAATGACAAACAAAGGGAAAGAGGAGAGGCACCAGGTATGTGTTATCTAGGCCTTTTAGGAAACATGGAGTTGTTCCTTTGGCCACATACATGCGAATCTATAAGAAGGGTGATATTGTAGACATCAAGGGAATGGGCACTGTTCAAAAAGGAATGCTCCATAAGTGTTACCACGGCAAAACAGGAAGAGTCTACAATGTCACCCAGCATGCCGTGGGCATCATTGTAAACAAGCAAGTTAAGGGCAAGATTCTGGCCAAGAGGATCAACGTGCGGATTGAGCACATTAAACACTTGAAGAGCAGACACAGCTTCTGGAAGCAGGTAGAGAACAATCAGAAGAAAAAGGAAGCCAAAGAGAAGGGCACCTGGGTTCAGCTGAAGCGCCAGCCTTCGCCACACAGAAAAGCACACTTTGTGAGGACTAAAAGGAAAGAGCCCAAGCTGCTAAGCCCATTCCATACAAATTCATGGCCTAGTGTACAAAAGACCGGACTGCAGAGTGTTTTCCTTTACGAGAGAGAGAGAGAGAGAGAGAGAGAGAGAGAGAGAGAGAGAGAGAGAGATCGATCGATCTTGTGTAATGCCCAAAATTAACCTAAGTACCACCCGCCTAAGGACCACCTAACTTCCTAGAATGCTGGGAGTTACAGTTGTTTCCTCATGGAAAAATACAGTGGCCTGCAGATTTGTCTTTATAAACCCCTGTAACAAGGGGCCATTTTCAACTAGGAAATTTCATGGAATGGTCCTAACCAAAATCCATCTGTTGGTCAGTATTAAGCTTGCTTTAACTTTGGCCTAAAATGCTGGATTTGGCTTTTCTCTGGTGAATCTCAGGATTGACACTTGATTCCATGAATAAGGTGGAAGGGTGATCTCGGATCATTCAGACATCAACTTCCAGACTCCATGTGTACACCCAACCATATGCACACAAATGCACATACATTTCCACACATGTGTGCCTACACATATGCACATGTGTATACAGGTATATACATATGAAAATGGAAAAAGAAAAAGAACACTCATAAAATATGTGTTTAGCACAGAGAGACCTATAGAAGAGAATAGGAGGAGGGTGTATCAACAACCAGTTCAACATCCATACTGTACATATTAGAAAACTATGGCCCAGAGACATCAGTTGGGTGGCTGACTTGTCCAGGGGCAGAATGATGACAAGCAGCCTCAAGGGAGCTTGAGAGGGTGGAGGTGGGGGCAGATACCTCAGACTCTAGCTGCTCTTACTCTTGGCTTAAGCTCTGAGTTCAAAGTGTTCCACCTGCAAAAATCTTAACTAAGACCAGCTTATTTTTTCCCAGTAAAGAGAAAGACAAGATCACAACTGTCAAGTTCCAGTATCTTCATTTATTGAGGTCTGTAATGTAAAAGAAGCCTGCTTACTAAGATCTGAAAAGACAATGAACAAGAACCGGCTACCAGGTTTTACTCTTTCCCATTCCTAATGCCAAAACTGACAACAGGATTTTTATAAATACAGGAATGTAAGCAGAAAGTCTAAGAATTAAGAAAATGTATTAAAACTTAATTAGGCATAACCACCCTCAGAGCCTAAAAAAGGAATGTGGCTCACAGGGTCAAAAGAGGCCAGGAGATGTGTGTAACCCAGCTATGACTTAAAAGCAAAACATTTTCTTTCTTTACTACATCAAATGACAAAGAATAGAAAATAAGATCTTTATATTTTGGTAGTTGTGGTGGAAATTTGGCAACTGGTTTTTTAACTTTTTTTCTTTCCACAACTCAGACCCAACAAATTCTTATATTAGAGCAGATGATGATAAAACCATGACTACTATTTTACATAGTATTACATATTATGCTTACTGGATAAATGTCTTATGACGTAAGATGATCATGCACGTGTGTGTACACACACTAACACCAGCAACGTCTATTTATACAGAGTCACACGCCTATAGAAGTATCTAGTCATTGTTAGTACTCATAGTGACTTTTTGCTGATGTTGTTTTTTCTTTTCTTTTTTTTCCTCCAGAGACAGGGTCTCATTATGTAGCTCTGGCTGTCCTGAAACTCGATCTGTAGACCAGACTTGAACTCAGAGTTTCACCTGCTTCTGGAGTACTGAGATTAAAGGTGTACACCACCACACCTGGCTTAACTGTTCTTAACTATTTTAAACAGAACTAGTAATCAGTTGACTGATCAAGCTATAAATTCTTTACAGAAGAGATAAGTGTCTTTTCTTTTACTATAAAACACTGAATACAGTATTTAAAACATGACCTATATCAATTATTAACTGGTCTAAACTTTTGAATTATAGTTACAAAAAAACCTTTCTGCCTAAATGACATTTTGCCAAAAAAAAAAAAAAAATTAACTGAACTTCAAATATTTCAGAAGCCAGTGCGAACCTTGAATTAAATTCTAATTAAATGATGAAGAATTAAGAAGAAAATAATAACTAAGACAAGCAGCACATGGACAAAAATGTAATCCAACAAATCAGGACACTGTAACACATGCTTATAAAACCAGAACTCAGGAGACTGAAGCAGAAAGATCAAGAATTCAAGACCAGCCTGGGCTATATGAAACTCTGTCTCAAAAGTACACACAAAAAGCAAAAACAAAAAAAAGACAACCATAAGATATGTTTAAGTTCTACATAGCTTCCCCCTCCCCCATAAAAATCCATATTAAATTACAGACACAAACGTTTGTTTGCAGATGAGCTCTGGACTCTAACACGAGATCCGCCAGGGCCGAGAGCACAGATTAGTAATCATTAACTCAAAGGGCAATCCTCTGCACATGGCTTCACTTAGCAGAGTCAAGTATCATAGGCTTGCAAACCTTTCATTACCATCATGGCATTTACCTAAGACATATACACACCACAGACATGAAGTGCCTGCTCGACGTGCGCAAGTCTTTCTGGGTAATACTTAAAAATACTCAAGCTAGCATCTGTGGATGTGAGTTTTAAACACATATTCCAATCTTAAAATTGTCACACTGTATGCATGACCTCAACAACCCAAGCTTGGGCAGAGGACAGACGATCTACTCCACTGATCTTCTCTAAGAGATGAGTGAGCAGTCAAGAGCCAACAGACTACAGAACAGACTGCAAATGTTTAATCAGAGGGAAAGTCACCTTGTCCTTAGAAAACAATCCAGTCAAGAAAGTTCAGCAAAAATTGTTGCGGCTTGTATTCACGTGCACTCGGACCAACCTGTAACACTAGCTGACAGTGTTTACTGAGCATCCATACACAGGAGGCCTGCCACACAGGGAGACAATATGAGTACTACCCCATTTCAGCCTCCAAGTGATGCTACGGAAAAGTTAAGTCACTTGTTACCCTTCACACAGACAGACAGGAAACTGAACTTGGTACTGAGGCCTACATCAGAGATGGCCAACTAGAGACCCTTGGGCCACCCTGAAACACAGATTTCCTTGGCACACTCTGTTTGAGGGGGGAAAAAAATCTTAAAGGCCAATATTGTACTTTATGGAGTGGGGTAGTTATTCCTAGAACTTCTGGTTATTCTTAGAAACCACATCTGGCCAATTCCAGTGGGAATGCCACAAGACCATAATGGGCTGGAATTAAGAGCCAGTGCCCACTTCAGGTCAGACAGACTGCCCAGTTTGCCATAGTCTCTCTCCATCCTTGCCTTCAAGCCTATCCTTGCCCTCTAGTGAGAACTACTGACACCCCTGTTTGCTCTTAAAGACAAGGCTGTATCCTGAGTTGGAGACACTTACCTGTTCAAGCTCTCAAACACTTTGGTGGCATAATGGAGACTACGATGCTTATTGACAACCCAGAACAGGTTCAGAAAAGTCCTCAACCCCAGAGTCTGCAGTGTCCTTGACTAGGTACAAGCGTGTGAGCTTTGGATTTTAGAAAGGGCCCCTTTCTCTGTGGTCACGTTGGTTACTTACTGTCATATCTGAAGGTGATGTTGTGCAGCCCGATGTTTCTGCTGGCCGGCCCCACTCCCTGTGGGAAAATGAGAGAACATGACACAGAGTGAAGCCAACTTGCTTTCCCAGCATAGACTCCCCACAGACTCTAAACACACAAAGCACAGTAGAGGCCCAGGGTCAGGTCAGTACTATAGGTCAGCTCCTACCCTATGCACTGTTCCATGACCCCACCCACCCACTCAAACACCCTCCAGTTCAAGGGAATCCGACCCACTAGGGATCTTGAGCACTCTTTATCCTAAGACAACAGGAACAGACTGATCTGTTTAGGGGTTAAATAATTCATTAGCCATACAATTAGGGTAGAGACCCAGACGGCCAGATGGAGTCCTTCCAGTTGGATCCTCTGGTTGGCTATTAAACTCGCCCACCAGACAGCCTCATCCGAAAGCTCTAGCAAGGCAGGACAGATAGGCAATTCCTCAAGTCTACAGAAACGAGTTCTCATTCCAAGATGAGGAATGAATGTGGGAATAAGCCATTACTTTTAATGAGAAAATTCTTCACTGGCTCGCCTCCATACCTACGTTGGAAATACACAGAGTGGGTCATAAAAAGAAAAAAGACTTTCAAAAGTCCAACTCCTAACTCTTGGTGATGTGGCCATTAGCCGTCTGTAGCCTTAATAGTAGGGTAACAACTCCAACAGACTTCCCATTTTAATTACAGTAGCCACAGAGGGAACACCAGATCCTCACAGTAACCCCACTTCTTCCTAACCCCAAAGCTGCTCCTCGAGAGAAAGGGCTGCTCTGAGTCAGCCGAGCCAGGTCTACTGACTCTGCTTAAATCTCTCTCTAATAATCTGCAAAAGTGCCATTCGGTATTAATTGGGGAATTCTCCAAAATATGTTAATTCTAAAGTTCTAAGTGATGGGAAAATATTTTAACCACATAGCTAAAGTTTCCACTTAACAAAGATGATGTCGGGGAAAACCATATGCTGGCAGCTTGGTGTTTAATGGGCAATTGTTACACTGAGACACGATGTGGAGAACACTTCTGATGGGCTCAGGATTTCAGGCCACAACCCCATCACTTCCATATGCTACAGACATGTTCACACTACTTATCCCGAAGCCAGGCACGCCCACGAAAACCATATCCCTGAGTTCAGATATACACAGGCCTTGGAAAAATCACAGCTATGCAGAAAGAGCTAGGCAAGCCCAGAGACACACAGACAAGGGAGGAATAAGAAAGCAAGAATACCAAACCTAAATCAGCTAGCTGCCCCTAGCAGCCCCCGGGGCTTCCTTCTTGCTCCAGCTTCCTTTCCCCACCCTTTCTAGCTCATCTCAGGATATGAAACTTTGGACAGTGAGATATTAAGAGCATCCATCACCCCTCAGGAACCCTGTCTGTACTAACAGAAGCTGCCTGACTTCCAGGAGGCAGAGACCCAAGTAACAACCAGGAAGAGGACCATCCAGATTCCCGCAGCCCTCTAGGAATGTTCAAAACTGCCAACCACACCATTCCTCCCCCTCACAGAGCCCCAGGATATAAACAAACTCACGGTCCACGATGAGCTAGACATTATTTTAGGTATGGTAGTATGCAATGAACCCACGTGAAGTTGCCTGGTGCTTGCTCACCCTTCACAGGAGACTAACCGGATACAGACAAACTGCAAATCCATTGCCCACCGAGTAGTCCCCATTTAGAGAAGAAAGCCCATGTGGTTAATATAAAGAGCCAGCAGCAGAGAAATACAGGGTTCCTCCATAAGGCAGAACCTGAGTAAGGATGAATGTAGGGTAGGAACAACGCATACAAGATGTACACAGAGCCTGGGAGAGGAAAGGCTGGTAACACTGGGCGCATCCAGACAGGAAGAAGACCAGTGTAGAGGCCAAGGTCAGTGTTTGCAGCTGACAATCGAGGGACACTACTCCCCTCTCCTGATGCTAGAGTCTCAAGGATCTGAATGGTTTTGTTTGTTTGTTTGTTTGTTTTAAGAGTGTGCACAGCAGTTTCCTTCTGGGAGGGAAGTGGGTTGAAGAAGACCGTGGAGCCGTGTAGAAGTATTTTTCAACAAGGAAAACATTCCATTTAAGAGCAGGTGTCAGCGGCTCTTGAGTCACCGAGTGCATGACTTGTGGACCTTGGTTGGCTTTCCCGTATCTTTTGTTGCTCCCCCTCCATTTCAATTGAGGCATGGTTTTAACAGCATTTAGCAGGCATTTGCAAAGGCTAATGAGCTGGGTATGTGCTGTGCAGTACACACAGGAACCTAACAAGGAATCTGAAATGTGGGGAGCTGTCCAAGGAGGCTTGGGGGAGCTGACTTCAAGGGCATTGAGACTTGTGTGTGGCACCTATCCATCACCCACTGATGTTTCCAACGCATCCGGCGCCCTCAGGGCTGAGAGCTACAGATCGGACCCAGACCTTGACTTCAAGTGGCTTTGGCATAAAGGTGTAGTACAAACATGTCCATCATCTGTCTTCCTTTGTTCCCACAATCCCAGTCCTAGTTCCCTCTATACCATATTCTTGATGTGCCCTTAACTGCCAAACTCTCCAAAGAATCTCCACCCCAGCTGCAACCCCATAAATCATTTCAATTCCATCAAGCACTCCTGTATTCCCAGAATTCCCTTCTTTTCATGTTCCCATGAACCCCTTCCTAACACCCAGGTCTTACTCCCCAGAGGCTGCCTGATTTATCTGGTCCTTCACACATTATGGTCCTGACACAGTCTGCCTGTCTATTCACTGGACATTCATAGTCATTGTAGTTAATACAATTCCAAGTATGGCACTTCTGTGAACACAAATATGGTGGAGATTTTAATTCCACAGACAACTGGAGCCCCGAAGCCCTGAAACTAACCATGTCTGGCAATGAAGCTCAAAAACAGGGCACCTCCCTGGCTACCAGCTCTTGCCTGTACTTCAAAGACCTCTGACTGGTATTAAGTCCTTTAGTGCTCTTGCCTGCCAGTTTCTCGGCATGTGAGCAGTAGCTCTTCTGCAGGGCTACTGCCCTTACATCAAAATTGTTTTAGCTGCTCTGCAGGAGCCACTTTAGAAACAAAGTGCCCAGGCTAGCCCACAAAACACTGTTGTTTCCTTTATATTAAGTCAGACACTTGTGACTTAGTTTAGGTACAGTGGAAGGGACTGTGTGAATCAATGAACTTCATTGATGCTGAAACCGGACAGTGCTCTGGGTCATCCTGGTGGGCCAGTGTGAGGATTCTTAGAAGACCCTGAAGGGTTGGTATAGAGAACCAGAGATGTGACTGCAGAGACAGGATGAAGAGGGAGGTTGGCTGACTGCAGAATGATTCACATACTTGAGGACAGAAGAGGAAGGAGCTACTGAGCCAAAGACTGGGCAGCCTCTAGAGGCTGGGCCAGGCGAGGAATGGATCCTTCCCTGCAGCATCAAGAAGGAGCCAACACTGCCAACTTCAGTAGCTTGAGACTTAGAAATCTGACCTCCAGAGCGACAGGAATTTTGTGTTATCTTATGCCATGAAGTTCAAGGTAATTTTCAAAACAACAACTGGATAAAAAGCTGAATGAAAAAGGAAAGAAGGACAGATGGACAGACATGACTGTACAGTGGAGGAGAAAGTTTATTGAAGATATGAAGGAGAGCCAAGCCAGAGGGACATCTGAGAGAGTCCAGAGTGAACAGAACCCTGAGCCAGGCCATGTGAGGAGAGGAGAGAGGGGAGAGCCAGGAGAGTAAAGGGCAGACAAAAAGCCAGGTAACCAAAATGGCTGGGTTATATAGGGAAGGACAGTGGTGGAGAGGGCAACCCAGTCCCCAGGCTGCAGAGTTCAGGATAGGGTGCAGAGTATGTCTGCCATACCATGTAACAGGTAGGTATTTAGGGATGCTGGGAGAATCCAGTGACCAGGCCCACTTAGATATGTTAAATAGGCACCTTTGTTAGCCACTTGTCCTGGGCTTGAGAACCAACACATGCATTTTCCAACCATTTTCAGTTCAGTATAGATGAACTGAATCTCAGTGTAGCATGCACACATAGCATGTGCCAGGGCAGGCTGGTCTCCCCTCGAGTACCCACACAGCTAATCATTGTCACCTGGCCTCAGTCAGACAGGAAACACTGATTCTTCATAGCTGGGCCTTGGAATCCTGCCCCAAGATGGGTTTCTGAGGGATTTGCATGGAGGTCACCTGGAGTGAAGGGGGTGGAGCTTAAATCTCTCCCTGCTGGGTGACCTCAGGCAGGTTCCTGAACTACCCTGAGCCACAAGCACAAGAACAAAGCCATTTGAAAGGACTAGTGTAGGACTCAAGAGGTGACAGATGCCAAGTGTTCAGTAAAGTACCGAACACGTGACTCAGAACCATCTCTGCAACCCTTCCTGAGGCTGAGGTGCAGCCAGGTGATGTATGAAGAACACATGAAAGCTGGGGCTGCTCTTAAGACTCTCATCTCCCTGCCTTGCTTCTCCATGCTGGGATAGGTGTTTTTAAAAAGAAAAGGGGGTGGGGGAGGGGTTAAACCCCCCACACTTCTCAGTTCTTTTGTATGAGTGCTCTTAGAGTTTCACTCCTGGTCTGTACTGTGTAGTCTGTTCACTGAATGTTGCTACTGGCTTTCTCAAAGTTCCTTAGCTGCTTTGAATGGAAGCATTCTTGTTGTCTTTTTGATGGTTTGTTTGGTTTGTATTGTCTTGGCTGGCCTGGAACTGGCAATGGAGAACCAGGCTGGCATAGAGATCCATCTGCCCGCTGCTGAGATTAAAGGTTATCGTGTCTAGTCAAGATTCTTTTCTTTTTCTTTTTCTTTTTTTTTTTTCTGAGATAGGGTTCCTAACCCCAGGCAGACCTCAAACCCCATTTGGTGCAAGATGACTTTGAACTAATCCTCTTACCTCTTGCTCCTGAGTGGTGGAATTTTGGGCCAGTGTCACCACACCCAGTTTACCAGCGCTAGGGATCAAACACAGGGGGCTTCGTGAACATGGGCAAGAGTCTACCAGCTGAGCTCTATTGCAAGCACCATTTGGCCTGCTTTATTT